CAACAAGGGTGGAAATCATAACTGGGAGCATTGTTTATTTCCCCTTTTGGCTCTTAGTATATTTTGTATCTCAAGAAAAACGGAGATGGTATTATCCCCTTTGGGATAAAATTTCAGGCTTATTCATCTTGGAATCATTCTTTACACATCAAATGCCCAAACATCCCAAATGTCAATGCAAGATGCCCGTGGCCAGTACTGTTGTTTTTATTAACCAGTTTGAAATTCTTTAGTGTAAAGCCGAGACTAACTTTCTAATTCTAGCTGAATACAACTTCATAGTTGTTTTCCCTCAGAGTGCAAGCCTAATTCTCCAGATCCTTTTCTTGTCCTTTAAAAAACTCTGAGTGAAGAATGTGTTTTTATAAAAAGCCTTTGAACAAGGAAGAACAAATAGCATAAGCTCTGCTCTCTGTTTCTTATCAAAATCTGTCTGTCAACACCCTTCTGTCACCTTCTAAGCACCGAGAAGCAACTGCCTGAGGTAAAAACGGGACTTCAGACTCCACAAACAAATGGAAGGAGGAGGCAGGGTGAGGGTTTCAGGTCATACTTCCAAAGACATCCAGAAATTCCATAAAGTGCCAGGAATGAAAAGAAAATACCAGGTACAGAGGAAAGTAAATCATACAATGCCAGGAGAAGAAGTGTCCAAATGCTTTCCAGGATGGCTCACACGCTCGTGACATGCAGAAGAGGAAGAAAACAGAAACGGGACTTTATCCAGCACAGATGCAGTAACAGAAATCTGTTTTGCTTTTCATCTTATTTCTCAAAATACTATTACTGGTGCAGGATTGACTGATAATGCAGCTGCCAGAAAGAGAGGAAGAGAGGAAGAAAGAAGAAAGAAAGAAAAGAAAGAAAGAAAGAAAGAAATAGAGGGGTGAAAAGAGAAAGAAGAAAAAAAAGGGCAAGACTGTCATTCGCAGAGCAAACACCTGAACATTAGCTGGCAAAGAAACCAGACCAGGTTGTTGCCACTGTCGCCAACAACCCCACTTATAATTGTGCTGCTACTAAGCGTGCATTCAGAGTCTTAGGAGCTTTGAATTTTTTCTCCTGAGTGAAAACTTAAAAATGTTATAAATAAACTTCCAAACTCTGAGATAAGTATTTTTTCCAGTTATGAATACAGGCATAAACTTCAATAAATTTTGATATAAATTTCTAATAAGCAACTAGTGATCATACAAGTGATGCAAAAATATATTAGGAAAAAGATTTTAATTCTTTGATTTTGTTTTCCAAAGTTTAATTTACTAATGTAAGCTAAAATGTTTTGTTTATGTAATGATAATTATATATTCATTTATGCATTTTTAATGGGAAATAGAAATGGTGGTGGAAGACAGGTAGTTTGAGTAAAACCACTTTGGATATTTGCAAACACTTGAGCTTAGGCAGGTCTTGTTTCCTCAGAGAATCTAAAAGCAAAACAAAGAAGCAGGAGACCCTGTTGCTGGGGTAGGGGTAACTAACCTGTACACCTTCCTTGGGAGAGGGCACTTGACCTAACTTTTCTTCAAATGAAGAATTCTAAATGAAGAGTAATGTGTCTTACCAAAATAACCTTATTTTAGTAAGTTCAGTATAAACAAGTTTGACCATTAATTATTCTGCAAGTTATTTCACTCTTTACCCTGAAAGAAAAGCTGCCTGCCTCTGGGAGCAGTATGAGTGAACAGAACCTCTGCCCCTGCCCACTTGCCTGCTCGCCCGCTGGGCCTGGAGAGGTGCTTGGAGCTCTGGGATGGGAGCGCCTGGGAGCTGCTCCTGCAGCCACTTTGCCTTTTTAGGCTGTGAGGGTCTCTGTTTAGGATCCTGTGATTGACAGTCCACTCCAGCTCCAATTAACACCCTGTAATTTATTAGCTTCTGCTTTCAGATTATGCGCTAACTTCACAAATATCTTAGCCATGGAAACAGCAGGTATCAAGTGTCTCTTCCCTGATCCAGCTCCTCTGGGGTTGGAATGAAAGACAAGGAAAGTGCAGTACAGTTGGTCTGTCAAGTGAATAATCATTTGTGTCTGTGCCTGTCTGAGGGCAGGGTGTCCTCAGACAGGAATCTACCCGTGGATAAACAAATTCTATGCGTGGATGCCGTTTCTCAGCGCTACGTCTATATGGGGTGGTGAGGAAGAGCCGGTGCATAGAAAATAGGGAATTTATGTTTTCTTCACCTTGTGGCTCATGTAAAGTCACAATTTCAGTCACACAGCAACACCAACAACAATTCTGCCTTACTTGCCTGCCCCAGATTTTAGGGATACACAACACACCTAACACTAGCAAGAAAGGTGGAATTACATTGGATAAAGGCCTTGATGAGACCAACCAAAGCTTATTTGTATGTAGACCATCAAATTAATTTTATAAAGGAATCTGATGTTCTTCAATTCTAAAAAGCCATTCATTTGAGATCATTCTATAAATTAATTTAAAAATGCAATATATGGAAGTTATATTAATGTGGAAAGCAGTTGCCTAAGCTTTATTATTTGTACTTTTTCCAATTCCCTGAGTTTGTGAAAAAGAGCTGCTCGTTTACTCTGATGGGAACGCAGGTGATGTGAAGCAAAATGGAAGTCACGGTTCTCTTTGAGCTGCTTCGCTGGATGCAGAAGGGCAAGGCAAATGCAGTACTCACCCAGAAAAAGCGGCCGGCTTTTGCGCAGCTACCTGAGTCCCAATACCCACTCTGCCCTCTTCCCGCATAGGCCGCAATCAATCTTAGGTCATCATTAGAATCTGCCATGCATTGAAATAGAGTTTCAAAGGGAGATGAGCCAGGATGGCAACTCCTATTCAGCTGCAGGAGAACAGATAGGTTCCTGAAGCCTGGTCCCTGAGTTCTCAGCCAGAGGGCACTGGCAAGAGATCTACTGGGTGGTGCAGGGCGCCTCTGCCCCTTTCATCGCCTCTTCCTGGCCCGGCTAGGGGAGGACAGCTGAGCCGGGGTGCAGTTACACAGGAGCCGGCCCTGTTCAGACCCTTGACAGGCCAATCCATGTGAAGATGTCACGCTCACCTGGGCCCTGGCAGCCTGCATTTCTGAGTGTTCTTTTTCCAATGACCAGAACCTTCTTGAATCTGCAGGGTTTCACTATTATTAGCCAGACAGGCATAGGGGTTTTATTTTGTATGACTCAGTGGGCCTAAAGCATGTCAGGTAGGGCCGTTACTTTTGAAGCTCTCTTTGAGGATTTTGGTATAGAACTGACTCTTGGTTCTGACTTTAATTCTATTTCTACTTCAAGAGGGCATAGAACAGTGAATGGCTATTCAAAGGCCACCTGCCAGGCTGGTGGGCCTGGCCGGCTCAGCAGCCTGGACAGTGTGTTCAGTACTGCCCAAAGGCCACTTCCAGTGAATGAGTATCCTCGTGGGCAACCTGATATTAAGGGCAGATGTAGCTGAGGGGTAGGTTCTGGCAATAAGAACCTTGTGGCCTGGAAAACACTCCCTGTAGTTGTGGTCACAGACCTCACAGTGCGTGCAGGTAGAGCCCAGGTGGGAAACCTGGAAGAGACCATGCTGTGATGCCTTGTCTCCAAGGGCAGAGTCTGAAAAGCACACTGGAACTTGTTGCATCTTATTTATGCTTGTATATACCAGGATCCATGCCAGTGGAACAGGGATTAAAAAAATCCACAGAGAAGTCCAAAGTTAATTTTAGTTATTGCTTCAATGTCCAAATCTCAGGCTAACTCTGACAGGGCTTGGTCAGGTTGGGCGTGAAAAACTTCAGAGCAGGGGAGGATGTTAAATACTGAAATGAATTATTAGGAGAAACAGCAGTAAGAGCCCTGTGTCCTTCTGGACGTGACCAGTAATGGTGTCTGTGAGACCTAGGACTCTGAGTTTGACAAAGTGTCAATCCCTGCCTCTTTCCCCATACTTTACAAGGAAGAAGCAAGTAAGTTCAAAGCAAAACAGCTGAGAGCGAGATGAGAACTGGATCACAGTGCCTGCCGTGGGGGATAGTGTGACTGCACTGGGCTCTATGTCTACACCTTGGCCCTGCTGCTTATGAGCTTTATGATTGGGCAAATTACTTGGCCAGGCGCCTCAGTTTTCTCAGTGTTAAGAAAGAGATCATCATAATAAATATTATATTAAATGTGGAGACTTTATTGAGAATCTTTCCATGAAGCCCTCAGGTCAGTGCCTCATATATAAGAAGTAATATCAGTTGTTTATTATCATCACACCTGGAGCAGAATAATCACAGCATATCTTCCTCTCTTGCCATCCCTGTAATGAGAATATGCACTTTTCAGGTGCCCACAGGACAGGAAGAGGGTGGGAGACTTGGCCAGGCTCATGTGCTCCATGGGGTCCCTCAGTGGCTTCCAACTCCTGAGACAGTTATTCAAGATAAGTGGTATTTGCCTCTTTCAAGGCAGTGACAATCACGATATGGACTAATGTTTTTATGCTTTAACAAAGTACAAGGAAAATTTGAACCCAACACAAAAATATCTCTTGGGTCCTTTACAGAAAGATCACAAGGAACTCTGACATCAAGAGAAAAAGAAAAGAGAAAGACTATGAATTTAATCTCTTTTTTAACCTAAGAGATTTGGTTTCCTAGCATAGTTTATTAGAATATAAAACAACCAATATTTCAAAATCACTTTTAATCAATGAACCTACCATTTTAAGAGTCTAGAATTTAAGAGTGACAGTCATCCCTTCTGGAAAATAACCTACGCCTATCTGCAGGAGGCAGTGGCAGCAGAGCCCCTTGTTGACTCCTGAGCCCCAAGATACTCACAGCTAAGCCCTGGCTTTGCAGCCGTGGTCTTCCCATCCTTGGGGTGTATGTGAAGTAAAAGAGGTTAATGGATTTCACAGCCCAGCAGCACACTGGAAAAACTAATACGTGGATTTATATTTCTGACAACATTGCTTACATTGGATCATACTAAAAATTATTTTATTCTACTAAATGAAAATGACATTTATTTTCTTCTTACGAAATGACACAGTGAATTCATAGTAAATAGACATCTTTAATGTTTGTTTCATCTTCCTCATCACCTTCAGCTTTGTCCATACCCAGATCCCTTCCCCTGTCCCAACACAAAAGTGACCAGTCACAACCATAAAGATGGAGAGAATTAATGGCAGTGTTGCTGACTCCGTGGACATGTCTCCCCTTGGCAATTCCCAGTCCTCTCTGGGAAGACAGCTGGGTCTCCTGTGTGCTCTTTCATCCAGAGGAGAGAGGAGGGCCAGGATTTGCGGGAGAGAAGGCAGAGTAGAGTTTCTTCTTTCATCATAAAATGTGCCTTATAAAAAAGATGATCTATGTACATATATATAATATATCCGGTGCAACTGCAATTGTCCTGCCACATACTGGAAGTGCCACCTTGGTTGATGTATTTCTGGAGTTTTCAACAGTTGTCCGAGAACAGCTGCATTTCAGTAAGACTTGGGCAGGTGGCTCCAAATCAGCCCTCTGCCACTCACACTGAGGCTGAGGCATCTGCAGTCTGAGGAAAAAGTCTGACTTTCTGTCTGAAGTGGGTGTTGTGAGGTGGAGGCTGTGCCTGAGGAGGAAGTGGCTTCGCATTTCTCTGCCAGTGTTGCAGACACTGACTTTGAGGATACTGATATCAGGAGTGCTGTGACCACACTACGCAATGAAACACTTCACATCAGCATAAAAATATTCATACCAAAAGGTCTTTTTTGCTTTCCCCCATTCCAAGAAATCTTACGCTATCATATCACCCGCCTAAGCAACTTCACCGCAGATATATCCAGTGATTTGGCCAAAGTCATTAAACATAGCACAGAGTCTCTAGGTCTGGCAGAAGAGATTAATTCTGGATGACATTTCTGTACATGTGGTTTTTGGTTTTCCCAGTACACTGAGAAGTTGGAAGTCTCTGCCTTCCCGGAGCCTCCGCGGCTGGTCAGAAGGGGAGGGGAAGGGGACCTGGTCAGCGATCAGCTCAGAAGGGGTGCACCACAGAGGGAGTAGCGCCGAGCTGCAAACCAAGATCAGAAGCCGTTACAAACCCACTCCACTTCACTCTGGGGCCACCATGTGCAGACACCTAGGGGAGAAGGTGGGCTGTCTAAAACCAGTACAGATCCTTGCTTTTGTCCTGAAGCTGCAAACCTGGAAACAGAGAGAAGATAAAAGGGACAGAGGAAGAGAAAGACAAAGGGAAAGGAAAAAGAGAGGGAGAGAGTGGGGCATGGAGGGAAGGCACAAGATATTTAAGGAAAGAGAAAGACAAAGGACACAGTTTTATTGTGAAAGTCCCAGTCTTCCCGGGGCGAGGTGTGGAGGTGTGGGGCTGTGGGGTGGTGAATGACCACAAAAGCAAAGCAACCAGAAAGTCAAATCTGCACCTGCAGGAGGGGCAAGGTGACTACTTCGCTTATTAATGACTATTTTTTCAGTTATCTTAAAGTACATATAACAGCACCTCATGGAATGCACCTTCTAGATTCAACTCTTTAAGCCAGAGACTTAGCACCTGAGCATTATCGTGAAAGCCATATTCTTTAAGTTCGACATCTGAGAGGTCCATTTAATTGGGCAATGAAGCCGATACAAGAGCCCGTGAAGGGCTCCCAGTGAGCCAGAAGTCACCAGGACTTTAAACCATCTCAGAGGGTGCTCTGGGTCAGCGCTGTCCAGGACAGACTTAACCCTAAACTTTTTAGATGCCGCGTTAACGAAGGGGTAAAAGTTAACAAGTGAGAATTTCAATAATACATTTTAACTCAGTACACTTAACATGCAGAATAATACCGAGCATATCTGAACATGCAGCATCAATGTAAAAGAACAAGGTGGACCTGTAGTTTGGCGTTTCCCTCCTCACTTAGGGAGGCCTGGCGGTCACACGTGGATGGTGACCACAGCACTGGACAGTGCAGCCCTAGAACTCTTAAACCAAATTTCATTGTACAAAGTCCTCTGTGGCCCTCAGGTGTCGGTGGAGTGCTGCTTTGGCACCGCAGCACTCTGTGCAGGGGCAGGTCAGCTGGCATCACCTGCCCAGGCCACGCATCCCCTCCCGTGTCCCGTGGTCCCGGGCCCCTGCTTACCTGCATCAGCGCCCAGGCCCAGGCCAGTGTCCCCAGGTGGGCCCCCGAAGGGCGCGGGGGGCGTGGCCCAGGCTCCGGCGGGCGGCTCAGGCCTAGAGGGGCGCCCGCAGGCCGGGCCGCGGGGCGCAGGGCCGAGGCGGGGGCGCGCGGGACCCGCGGGCATCAGCAGCGGCCCGAAGCGCGCGTCCAGGCGCGGGGCGTAGACTTCGTGCACCGCTGCGCCCAGCGCGTAGGGCGCGTGCGGGGCCCAGGCCTCGGTACCGCTGGTGGGCGCGTAGGGGTCGGCAGCGAAGGGCAGCTCCGGGGGTGCGGCGAGCGGGGCGCCAAGCGGGGTCGCCGGGTACGCGCCGCCCCAGAAGGACGCGGGGAGGCCGCGCTGGCTCATCGGGCAGGGCCCGTCTGCGGGAAGGAGTGAGAGAGGGTGGTCAACAGCGCAGGCGGGTGCGGCGGTCCCCACCCACCCCGTCCCCGCAGCGAGCGCTCAGGCTCTTCGGGAACCGCTTCCCGTGCGCTCCCGGAGCCTGCGCGGAGGACCGCACCGACGAGAGGCACGCAGGTGCCTTGAGCAGGGAGGCGCCTACGTTTTAATCAGTACTGTCTACACCCAAGGTAGAACGCCAGGAACGCTCAGAATTCTCAGAATTCTCAATGTGCGCAGTGTCGCGGTTAACCCGGGCCCCGGAAGCACTGCGGGCTTCGCCTGCAGTGGAGAAGGTCGCCGTCCTAGTTAGCCGCGAAGATGCGCTACCCCTTCTCCGCTCAGCCTCCTGCGAGTCAGGCAGCCGAGAGTAAAAAGAATGTTCTGTATTTAACACTCGTGGTCTTGGATCCAGTTGTAGGGCAAAGAAAAAAAGAAAGAAAGAAAAAAAGGAAGGGCAAGGGCTGTCATTTCCCCCAAAATGACAAATGAAAACAACAAAACTGAATGAAATGAAAACAACCGAAACTGTCTGTGTGCCGCTGACTCCTGCGGTGTGCCCCTGTATTTCACTGGCGAGAAAGGGAAGTTGAGATATCAGAGGGGAAGGCAGAACTTGGGCTGCTTTGGAAAACCCTTAGGGACACTGTCCTGATTGCCCTGGGGTTTGGTTTGTTGCTTTACTTGCTGACTGAAAAGACCTCTTCTGCCTCATGATACTCACTAAACACAGGTTTGTTTCGGGAAGCAACCTCGGCATGGGCTTTTCTTTCTGTGCATTTTGGAAACTAGGAAAGAACTCTAACACTGCTCTGAGGGAAGATCCCGAGACCCAGGTTTGGGCTGGGATAGAAATCTCACCCCCATTTGCATATTACATATTTACATTTTAATGTGTGAGTCTGGGGCCTTGGGATAGATGGGAGGCAAGATTACCCTAATTTTAGAGACCAGTGAATAATGGCTTCAAGAAGGTCAGAAAACTGTCCCAAGGCAATCCTAGCTCTCCACGTAGTGGCAAGGGCAAACCCAGCCCTCCATCCCCAGGCTAGGGTCTTGTCCAGCTCCCTGCTTTGCTTTTCAAGGGACCTGAGACTCGGGCTCTTGCCCCCCTCCCAGAACACTCCTCACTCTCTGCTTCTCCTCCCAGTTGGGTCTGTCGGTGGCTGGGTGGACCCTCCCAGGAGGGCCCCCTCCTCACCTCTCCAGGGCCCGGAGCTCCTGGGTGTCTTGCTGGCACAGCTTGGGGTGTAGCTGCTGGGCTGGCTCAAGGCCCTGCTGAAATGCTCGTCTACCACGGAACTGATGTCCCCCTGAAAGTAGGTGAAGAGGACGCAGCGGGAGTTGATGTACTCGGCCTCGGGTGGGCGCTCTTTCTCTGAGCTGCCTTCCTCCTCTTTTATGCTAGCCATTGCTGTTGGGCTGGAAAACGAGGAGCTGCCGCTGCCGCTGCTGCTGGGGCTGGTGGTGCACTCTGGGGCTTCCTGCATTTTGGAGTAATAGGCTAGCTTCTGCTTAGGAAGAGAAAGAACGTAAGTGTCAGTTTCCAAAGCCTCCAGAAAGTTCCGACCTGAGAGGCCCCTGGGGACTGACACCTGTGCCCAAGCCTATACCCTCCACAGGGAACCTGCCGGAAGGTCAGCAGCCTTTGGGTGCATACCGAGTGAGAGCAGCTCCCACAGGGCAACCCTGTGGTCCTTGGTCCCCTCTCCCTCCTGAGATGCTGCTGGATGACAGGGTGATCTGTCCTAAAATATCCTAGAGGAAGACACCCAAAAATCCAGGCTGCGAGCTGAGTCTGCCCTGAGGTGGCTCAGGCCATTCTAAAAATCAAGCCCTTAGGATAAAGGGTACACAAATTGCTGGGGCAGGAGGCCCAGACTCCCTGTAAAAACAGAAAAAATCCATGTCCACTCCCGCACTCGGAGGTGTGGCAGAAGACCTGCCTCAGGAAGTGTGAAAGACAGGGTGTTTAGTAAGGCACCAGGCAGTTAAGATGCAGCTTTTCAATGGATTCGAGTTGATATTCGTTCACTCATCCATACACTGTCCATTTAACATTGATCTCAGTTCAAACAGACCTTTACATGAGGAAAAGCTAATGCACTGTACGCCCACTCAGCACCACATATGCACAGGACAGAGGCGGTTAAAAAAAAAGCAGAAAAAAGGGTTAGACCTCGATTACGAGGCTGGGATCATCCTGTAGGATGATGGTGACTTTTACAATCAAGGCAGCGGTTGATTAATTTCCTCAGGAGTGAGCAGCGTCAGCGCACTGCACAGACCGAGATGGCTTTTGTCGCCCAGAAGCGAAAGGAGCGCTCCAGTTTACCAGAACGCAGGGGAGGGGACAGGACAGGACCGACTCTTGCAAGAGAGTCGTCCAGGAAAGGAGTGCGGCGCAGAGGCTGGGCCAAAGGCTGGGAGAGGCTGGTCTCCCGATGTCGGAGACCAGCTGTGCCACTTCCTAATGCCATCTTCCAGTCCGCTTACCCAGCAGCTCGGCCACTCCGGTTCTCCTGGAGACTACACACCAAGGGGCAGCGGTTGAAAGAGGAAGAGGGAAAAGGACGAAACGCAAACCCGTCTTTCCACTCCTGAATCGACGCTGTGAATCTAAGGGCACGGCGGAGCCCTGATCAGGGCCGAGGTCTCCCACCTCCCCAGTCGGGCACAGGCCTCTACGGCTGTCTCCCGGGCCAGCTGCGTGGGTAGGGGAGGGCGCTGCTTGGCCAGATGTAGATCCAGGAAAAGAGAAGCCAGCAGAACCACAGGAAACTTGAGTTTGCAGGACCGGGGTTGCGTAGTCCTAAGACACAGTTTGTCGGAGGCAGGGTTGCGGATTTGGAGCCTCAGACCCGAGAAAGGCGGAGCGCAGCGCCTGGTAAGGCGCTCCCAGAGACAGGCCCGGCTCTGGGGCCGACGGACCCGGCACCCTGGGCGAGGCGATCCAGGGCCGTGGCATCGCAGGAGGACCGGCTTTGTGTTGCTGGCCATCTTCACCTGCGGGACCCGAGTTGGCTCCTCGCTGAGCCTCTCCGAGCTTCCCTCACCGCCAAGGATCGCCGCCCCCCCAGGACCCAGCGCGCCCACCTCGTCCGGCCGGTCCCGGGAAGACCGCGAGGCCGGAGCGCCCCTCCGCCTCTGCACCGCGACCCGCGCCCACCCCGCCGGCCCGGCCAGCCCGAGGTGCGCACCTGGTGGTAGGGGGCGTAGGCGGCGGCGAAGTAGGGCTGCGGGGTGCCGTAGACCTGGTACATGACCTCCAGGCAGCTCATGGCTGCGCGCAGCGCTCGTGCGCCCTGCGGGTGGGAGCGACGCGCCTTTAACTGCAGGGGCGGGGCGTGGGTCCGGGGCGGGGCGAGCACGCGGGGGCGGGGGCGGGGGCGGGGCCGTTGGATCGCGCGCGGCCGCTGAGGCGGTGCGGGTGAGGTCCTGGGGAAGAAGCGGGTTCTGGGGACCCTAGTGGGGGCCCTCACAGGATCTCTGTCCTGCGGGCCCTGAGCGCAGTCCGCTGTCCCGCGCAGATCGCGTCGCCGTGGGCGGTCTGCGGGGTCCTGAGCCCGGGTAGCTCCCCGAGGGCCGGGCCGGCACGTGGCGGAGTCACGGAGACCTGGACCCTCGCCATCTGCGGGGGTCGGACCCTGCCCCGATCCCATATCCCAGGTCCGACCCCTCATATCCCAGGTCTGTAGCCTCCACCCCAAATGCAGGTCTATTCGGGGGCCTGCAGCTGCACCCAGAGTTTCGTGACTCGGATTGGGGGACCCGGGCCTTGAGCAAGGACGCCCAGCACTCGGAGTCTACTGCGCCCTGTGACCGTGGCCGCGCTCGTCGGCGAGCGGGCCAAGTGTGGGGACGCGGGGGTGCGGGACCTCGGAGGCTGCGCGGACTGGGCCGTGTCTGACGGTCGCCACCTGGACCACGTGTAGACCCCGGGCTCGCCCCTTCCGCACTACGGCACTCCAGGTGTCAAGTCCCTAATGGGATCATTGGGAAGCGTGGGGTCTCGTGGGCAGGGCTTTATGGCCTGTGAAAACGGCAGGGCGGGGGGCTGGTAGGATCTTGGGGTGCCGGCGGGTCCGGTTGCGCAGCTCGCCTCCCGAGCTTCCCCATGCGCGGCGGGTGCAGGCAAAGGCCTTTCAGCATCTCCACGGGGCAGAGTCCTCAAAAGTCACTTTCAGGACAGATTCGGCCCCTGGAGCTGAGGGGAGCAAGCCGTGGGGTGGTAAATCCACCCACGCGTGCGAGGACCCTGCGACTGCAACGGGAACGGAGCCGGAGACGTCGCTGCCCCTCGCGGTTCGTGCGTGGAATCGTCGGAAACGGACGTGTGTGCGGGCACAGACTAGCGTCCCCTGCAGTCGCTTCGTTCTTTCTCTCTGGAGCGACTTTCAACGCCCCTGAAGCTTTGTTGCCAGCGCCTTTCTGCGCTGGGAACAGGACCAGAACTGGGCCCAGGAGCTGTGCACTGCGTCTTCGGATCGCAGTTGTTTTCTTCTGCCAGCCGGAGGGCAGGAACTCGATGTAATCTCACAGATTTTCCCCTTAAATCCGTCCTGCCTACTTAACTGAGGAGAGATGTGTTTGGATTTAAGAGAGCAGCTGACCGAGATTTTGTGGATTCAAGCTGTTGATATTAGTTGAAACAATTTCTGCAAAAACAGTTTTTCAGACATGGTGTGACAGTCAGGTCACCAACTGTCCGATGGCAATTTTATTTTAAAGATATAAGAGGAAGCAAAAAGAGAGATCCATGTATTCTGAAGCCTCACCAAAACCTTTAGTGAAAAAAAAGTTTAGTTGTTTTCATACAAACTTTTAGAGTGGGTTTTAATAGTATTTCCAAGTAAAAGCTATTAGGTGAATAAAAGAGATTGCCTTATAAATACATGTTTGGTCATACGAATGTCAAATCTAACCCTTCATGTTTTTAAGACTGTATTTTCATGTTATGTACAGTGCAACTTTAGCTTTGGTGAAATGATCACAAATTTGTGGATTTAGTTTTCTCTTCAAGTCATGTTGATGTTACTGTCCACTTAAAGACTGGGAAGAATATTTAAGGCTATTTGTCTTCTGGAAATGAGTTTTTAAAAAAGTCTTTATGAAGTGACACTTTCTCACCTTTAATTCATGGGACCCCAAACTATTAAAAACTACAACTCACAATAGCAAAAAGGACAGTTGAAGTAGCCGTGTGCTAAATATTTTGGCTTGGCATAGTTTTTTAAAAAGGAAAAGTTAGAAGAAATTTCTATTCTATAATATTTACTTGGGCATGGAGAGTTAAGTTAGACATCCTGTGCCCATTGTCCATTAACAGGAACTTGTTTTGTGTCTGCTTCATATTGACAACACATTGTGATTGCTGTGTATTTGTGAAATTATGTTGGCTGTCAAGGCACATGGTCTGGAGAAACAGCCTACAAAGTGACACTCATGTCTTCTGTCTTGTGAAATGCAGGAACACAGCAGTTTGCAGTCGGAAACTGGAAGCAGGCTGAAGGGTTTAACTGTTGACTTAGATATTTGATGGTGTTGGTGTTGATCCTCCCCAAACTTGTGTTTATAAACTTCATTTCAGCAGGATGCTAAGGGGATTAAAGGGGACCACAGCAATAACAGACAGAGACATCTCTCCCTCGGAGATGACATCCTGTTGCAGGGACTCCTGGGAAGTTTCTCAGGGTGTGTGGAGCAATTCTAGTACCCACTGCTACCCTGGTGTCTGTCTTTAAATTTCATGATGGCATAAATGTGACTTAACAATGTTGTAAATATATTATGTAGTGTGAAGTTTGATCATTGGGATACAGGTAGCAAGGCCACAAAATGGACCACATTTTTCATTTTTGTTGTTAATTTAGCTTCATACTATAAATACTATGCATCATAATTTAAGGGGAAATCCCACATGTTGAATGTGAAATCCAGACCTTACTAGGTATGGTATTTTTACCTTTTTTTAGGAGTGGCACGAATCAACCAATATTTAATGTACTCTAACCGGTGACATTATCTGAAATTTAAATAGAATTGAAATGCAAAACTTAAAGTATCATTTTACATGCCTCATGCAGGGTAGTGAATCAAAATAGAAAATAGACATTTATCCAGATAATTTGTAATGAAAACCAGCCAACCATGGTCATGTGAAAAACTGAACTGCAAAATTCAGGTCTCAGTGCAGGCCTTCGCTAAGGGCACTTCTTTCCTTTTTAGCAAGTTAATGCCTCTTTTCCTAAGCAGGGCTTGTTTCTCCACACTTGCATGCTCAGAACGTGGCCATGGGTTTGGTGAAGTCTGATGTGCTCAGAAACATTTTAAGGCAGCGGTTCTGAAATGCACGTGTTTTTCCTCTTAGTTGTCTTTTTCCCTATACTGATTCAGTGGCAATCACTGAAGAGTTGCTGTCACAGGGCAGTGCTCTGTATGATGTGTAATCCATACATTTGAGGAAACACAAGTTCAGTGGCTAGATTCAGCCATGTCACAGTAGATACATATTTCAGAATAGCATGTCGTACACCATAAATATATACCATCTTCGTTTGCCAATAATAAAGTACCAGGTTGAAACAACCAAAGTAGCAGTAAAGGGGTAATAAAGATACATTTATCTGCATGTTAGGCCTGAAACTGCAGGGTTACCTCAGCAGAAAGGAAGTCCCAACTGGAGGTGACAAAAAGAGGACTTGTCAGAGCACATGCTGTCAACTAGTCACACAGGCAAGTAATCAGACAGCTGGAGAGAGCGCCAGGGTGCAGAGGGGCAGGCCAGAAAGAGCTTGCTGCTGGTGCCACCTCCAAAGCACACAGGCAGATCTGATCTCTGGGTGCCCATTATTTGGAAGGTCATATATTTCGGGAAGTTGGCCTACCGGTCTTATTTCATGGGATGCCGCCCACCCTCTGAGGAAGCAGAGTGGCCTCAACCTGCTAAAATGATCTGAGCTGCTTTCTCAGGATGGAGTGGGCAGGCACAGCTGGGAAGGAGCGATGAACAGAGATCAGAGCACAGGGCTGTAACTGTGGTGTGATGAGGGTCAGCCCTCAGCCCTCAGCCCTCAGAGCATGCATCTTTAACCAGGAGGAAACTGGACCAGTAGCCATGAAAGGCAGCTGTGAACCAGTGTCTGAAATTCAGTGTTTGACTTGAATGTAGTGTATAATTTTTATAAACATTCCCAACATGGCTGTTTTTCCACAGAGATCTTGAAAACCAGTAATTATGGGTTCCCAAAATTCTCACCAAACAAGGGCATATTTGTAATGGTTTGGCAGGAGGTAGAGATTCCTTAGAATTCCAAGATTGGAGAGAGACTTGTGTCTTCTGCACAACAGAGGAGTTGGGTGGAGATCTTTAGCCCCTGGTTTCAGAAGCAAAATTGCCCCTTACATTTGCATTCTGTGAGCCCAGGCTTGTGTGCAGGTGAACGTCTGGTGTGTGTGACTGTGAGGGATAAGTCCCACTCTTCTCTGGACATGTGGATTCTTTAACTTTTTTTTTTTTTACTGTTATAACATTATATAATTGTTGGGCAGTTCAGTGTACAGAAATGCATAACATTTAATGAAAATGTATTTACTAGAATTACTAATAAAACACCCTGTTTGGGGTTAGCACCCCCCCCCCAAGTTCCTCTGCCCAAAGTAGATGAATGCTTTTCTGGAAAAATTGATCAGTGACCCACCTTATCTTAGAGTTCTTAGTTAAGAATTTTGTTACATTGTTTATTCCAAAAAATATTTAAAAATTGCTTCCCATAGGGCTGACAGTGAGTTACCAACTGGCCCTTGTTGCTGTAAACTCATAGACATCATAAATAAAATTTAGAACTAGAAAACAACTGGACCGAAAATGTTGCCCACGGCAGCAAACAAAGAAACAGAAAACACTGAGCAGATTGGCACCCTGGGCTTGCAGGGTGCTGAGCTGAAAGCTGGCCTTAGATTCTGAGCTTCTGTGCAGGAGCGAGGAGAAAAGCCCAAAGCAGTCTCACCCCTCGAAAGCCTGGCCTACTCTGGGCCAGAATGGTCACAGGGGAGGCTGCAAAATCCTGCGGAGCTGCTCCCTGGCTATCTTCTCAGTGTAGCTCCGACCCTGGCCAGCAGGAGGCAGAACAGGGCAGATTTATGAGCAAGCGCTGGAACTGCGACTTCCCCGCTGGAGCGGGACGTGGAAGCACCGGAGGGTGCATCCTAGAATAAGGCGTGAGCATGTGGCAGTGGCAGAGGTACCTGGAAGTGTTGGGTGAGCCGGGAACATGCAGCTGGCCGCCGACTCGCACTGCTGGGTCAGCACTG